GGCAGGGTAATGAATGCAGGCGGGACAGGAGAGGGAATGTACCGCGATACAGGCATACCAGGCCGACCTCGGTACAGGGAGGAGTACCTACTAGGGAGGTACCTGGGGCACTTTTGTGACTGGTAGTGATTGCCAGGCACCGCGATAACCTTGCCTGGTACTGCCATTTCGGACCATACCAGGACCGGTAAGGCAGGTATCAGGTACCGGCGAAGACACACAAACATGCCGTTAATCGGGTTGCGCTCATTGGCGAGGGCCCCGGCCGATGCAGGCTTGGCGGGACCGCGACGGGCGCTGAGTGGCCGGAGTGCTTGGTAATGGCCGGGGGCCATGGAAGGGCGCCAAGAGCGATCGCCCGATCCTCATGACGTGACGGTCTTGACGCGGTGCCTGTTTCACGGCCAGGATTTGGGTGATCCGCGGTGGATCCCGCTGGGGCGGTGGGATTGAAGGACGCTGGGCTGCGGAGCACCCGACTATTAAAGGCTATTTCGTAGTTCGTACGGAGTTGGGTAGATACACTGTACGCTGGTACGCAGGAGCAGGCATACCGTGGTCTAGGGACTTGACCTTTGCCTACCTAGGTCCTGCAGAACAATGTCTCTGTACGGTAACGGGAATGCCACCGTTATACCACGTACCTTAGGTTATAATTAAGTACTAGCACTAGTACTCTCAGATCCCTCGCATATGAAGGGTGGACTCCTGGTCGGCGTGTCCCGTCGCCATTGCCGGGATAGGAGCCGCCCTTGCGCCATCTGCAGCAGCCCGAGGCACATCCTCATGCCACCACCGCCGATGGCATGTACGCTGACCGATTGCCGCCCGCGGATTGGCCTGCCGTGGTCTGACATGCACCCCATCCGTTCGGCCACTGACAAACCACTTTCTAGTAGCCAGAGTACTCCGTAAGTAGGTAAGATATAAATAATACATGGTTCGTCCCTTACAGGCCAGCGCACCCGCCCACGCGCCAAGCCCTTCCCCCCGCCCCGAAGTCTTGGTGCTGCAGCTCCCAAGCTCCATCACACCACACCGACAAACAATTCGGCCTAGTGGGTGCTTTCTAATCCCCAGTTCTAGATTCTGGCTCGGCGGGCTGGTGCTTTCTAATCTCCAGTTCTAGATCGCTACCTCCGTAAGTTGCTGCGATCACTTACGTCCATTCCCTTCGAGCCCACTCAACCCAGCACGTGTCGCGACCGGTGCTGCTTTCTAATCCTATTCCCACCCCCCACACAAGTCCATAGTCCATTTCTTTTTAATCACCCATTCTAGACCCCATTCACCTCACGCAATATACCCTGACGAACATGAACGTGTCCACTCACCATCGACCCACCTCCTGTCGTCTAATTGTCCGGTAAAGATCCGACTTATACCCAACCAGCCATCCTCAACAACCCAATATGTCATAGCCAAGCAAGAACTGCCAGTTTCTTCAATCTTCACAACCCCAGAAGCCAAGTGCCAACCCTTTCGAAAACTGCCCAGGAAACACTGCCCCCTCCCACCGCTTGCCCCCCCTCACCATCACCCCTGTCACGTCGTCTTGTCCTTCCCCCCCTTTTCGCCTCTACAACCAATACCTTCGCCCACGCCCCCTCATTCCAGTACCCGAACCTCCATCCCGCGGGTATGAAAACAACACCGCCTATCTCTACCCTTGTCGCTGGAAACCTGCCGATGTGGGCCATCATTACTCCTTCTAGTACTTCCAGCGCAACGGGGCCGGACTCCGCCCGCCAGGTTGGGGCCGTGGTGTCGCGGCGTTGACGACTGAGGGTGATGGTCGCGAGGGAGAGATCTGAGGTTGTGGAGAGGGGCTGGATGAGCTGGTAGGCTCCGAATTGGGAGTTGAGGTATTTGGGGCCGTAGTTATTGGCGAGGAAGTATGGTTCGTTGGCGGGGGGGGGAGGGAAGGAGAGGATGGTGTGGTGTGCCAGCCGGTGGTCGGGGGCGCGGAGTCGTTGAGGAGGTCGCGGCGAGGGGTGAAGGATGGTTGGGCGAAGACGTCGTAGGATTGGAGGTTTGTGACGGGGGGTGCTGTGGTGGTGGTTGTGGTTGTTGTGGAGGATGGGTCGTAGAGGGTGTTGGTTTCGGGGGTGTAGTTTTTGCCGATGGAGTAGAAGAGTTGTCTGTATTGATTGGGTTGTTGGTTAGGGATGGGTTGGGTGGATTGAAGGGAGGAAAGAGAGAAGGGGAAGCATACTCGAATCCTCCTGGGACTATGACGCCTACCATCTCGGTGTCGGGGTCTAGGAACTGGAAGGTGTGGGTGGTGTCTAGGGGTATGGAGCCGAAGTCGCCCTGGGTCAGGAGGCGGGCGTGTTGCTCGCTGGTGTGGTTGAAAGGGTCGATCCAGAGTTGGAAGCGGCCCTTGAAGTTGAACATGTATTCATATTGCGTGTGGTGGAGGTGTGGGGGGACGCCGAGGGAGGGGGAGGAGGGCGCGTTGGTGCCGAGCAGGGTGAAGGCGTAGTCGGAGGAGGGACCGGTGACGCTGAAGCGATACAGCTGAGAGCCGATGGTCACGGCGTGGGAGTTCTCGTAGTGGGGGAGGATGTAGGGCCGTGGAGACGAGGGGGCCTCGGACACGCAGAGGCCCGTCAGGGACAGGGGGTAGGAGAGGGCGAGGGGGAGGAGGAGGAGTGGTAGGAGAGAGTGCATGATGTAGATGAGATTCGCGATAGAATCTGCCGTGCGACTCTCTCCATGGAGGTTTGTTTATATCATAGCTGGGAAATGCGGTCTGTTGAGATGTCCAGATTGACGTGTCAGGCGTTTGCAGAAACCAGATTGATGGCAGCATGGTTCTGGTTGAGTTATACTCGCTGAATATTCTGCGATTCTCCGATTCATTGGCAGCCACCGAATCTCGTCCTTATCCACGTTGTATTGCTGCATTGCATATGTACCTAGTCTAATCGATGATCGACCTTGCAGTGGTAGGTCAAACTGCATGATGGTGTTGTCTACTCGGCCGACAAACTGGACTAGCCTTATACGAGGGGATCCATGAGTCAGGGTATATCCATAACGCACGAACTAGGTGGTTTCTTAAATCTTAATACTATGAAAAATGTTTGATTAAAAAATTTAAAGGAATTTTATTGGATGATCGGCCATTCTGGTACTTTTTAATGCACAAGCAAATGCTACTCCCTAGATTAATTCCTGGCCATCGGAAAGATAGTCGACCTAGAAGACTTTTGAAGGTAGGTAGTAATAACCTTACCTTTCATGATACAGTACAATCCAGACCACGATAGTACTACATTAGTACCCACTGGGTTCTACCCTTCAAATTCCAAGCTCATCAGGCGAAGAAGAATCCAGAAAACCGTTACCTGCAGATCGTCAAACGGAGGATAGGAGAAACGCGGGGTCATCCTTCACATCCTTCACGCTGAATTTCAATACGACCCAGCGAGCCAAAATCAATATGAAACAAGCATCTCCTTGACACCATCAATAGCAGCGATCACATGTGCTGAAATCTCGATACCACCGTCAACATATACCAGCCCAGAGAAACTAGGGCTTCGGCACGTAACTATAACTAGTTATACACCTTGACTAGTAAGCACCACAAAACCATCAACATAAAACCATACAAACCATATACGAATCCCTCGTCATCCCAAACCGACGATCGCAACGACGATCGCTTCACATAAAGGCATAGACAAAAAGCAAAAAACCCAGACATCCGAGACACCCATCCAACCAAAACCCACGGATATCGCGAATAGCAGTTCTCCGTACGGCGCCAAGCCTTTCTTGACATGAGACCGCCGATTCAGCCATGTACTGTGCCTCGGTCGGGCGTCGGTCGTCGGCAACCCACAGCCGCGAACAGATCGTTCAAACGAACATCTGAAACATCAGTAATTAAAACCCATCGAATCCAACCAACCCGGAGAGTTTTCTAGAAAATGAGTCAAAACTCTCTACGCAAGAGATAGATTGTAACAATAATATTGTGTGGAGACAGACGAGGCAAAAAAGAAAAAAAAGAAGGAATTGTCCCTGGGCGGGGTCGAACCGCCGATCTCAGTGATTCCTGTATGCGAAACCATAAGCACTATGCCTTAACCACTTGGCCACAGGGACAACTGTTGATGTGGGGACAACCCCGTTATGGCTAATAGCCGACCGGCGGCGGGCGCGGGTTGAGGTTTAGCGCAGCCACGTTGAGGCAGGGGGGGGTTTTGTTTGCAGGTTTTAATTGGAGAGTTGCGTCTGAGGGGTTTGAGTGACCTTACAATGCTATTAGATGGTGTTGGGGAGAGCTACATGTAGTAGGGGATAGTGGCATCGATTACTTAGCAGGGACGTGCAGGGCTGTACAAAGAAGTAAGCATGAGTAGTAAGTGGCCATTCCGTTCCATTCCATTCCGGCTAAATCGTCACAAAGGACGGGTACGTGCTTTGCACTGTAATATTAGTTACAGGAACAAAATCCCAAATGAAAAACCAGCCAACTGATAATCCCAGAGGCAGAGGCAGCAGCACTGTATGACATCGCCGCGACATCACAACGACATCGCAACGACATCGCGACGACACCACCGGCGTCACAACAATAACACGGCGACTGTCAGGTGCTTGCCTGTCCTTCAGTCTTCTTCTCTTCGTGTTCCTTTACCTCTTCTTCCTCTTCTTCTTCCTCACTCTTCACCTCTTCATCATCACCACCTTCCTTGTCCTTGTCATCATCCTCAGCCTTTGACTCCTGAGCCTCAAGAACCTCAACCTCGGATTCCTTATTCTTATCCTCGGTGAGCCCCTCACCCTCACCCTCGGCCTTGACCTCATTTCCCTGAGACTTGACCTCCTCCTCATCTTCCTCAGCCTTGGCCTTGGCCTCTTCCTTGGCAAGGTCCATATCTCTCACCTTCTGGACTAGCTCCTTTAAAACGACGTCTTGGATCAGGGTCTGAGAGACCTCCTTAGTGAAGTCTTCCACAGCCTTCTGGACCACGACATCTCTCTCAAGGTAAAGCTCATCCGAAGCGGGCTCACCACGGAGGGCATAGATCGCCATTGGGGCAAAGTGGTCGAAGTCCTCGGGAAAGTCATAGGTATCGTAGTACCGGTTCATGCGGCGGTGAACGATAAAGTCATAAGGGTCAGTCCTTTAATCAGTTAGTACTGGAATACGCTGACATGTATTAAAGGAAAGAAACACGTAACAACACGTCAAGATCACGTCAACACGTCAAGACCATGTCCACAAAGTGACCAAGAAGACCCGAGATGGAAATTAAGAGAGAGTAAACGTACGTGAGATAGTGCGCGAGTCCCGGAATCATCGCGTTCCAGATCATCCCGGCCGGGCGAGACAGATACATAATCATCTGGCGGACGGGCACATGGGGACTGCACGAGAACACAAAGCTCTCTTCGTCGACCTTCAAGAAACCCACCGGGCTGTCGATGACGGTGATTCCGAATGCCGCGAGAATCATCTTGTCTGTGTCGTTGTACGCGGGGTCCTGGGCCAAGATCTCGATGCTGGCGTTCCCGGTCTTCTCGCCCAGGACCTCCTTCACAGTGAGGAGCAGAGCGTGCTGGAAGCCGGGGCGGTTGCGGTCGGTGTTGCAGCCCACGGGAAGGGTGAGGCTGTTACAACCAAACGCGACGATCTTGCCGATAGGACGCGCCAATTCAATGGAGTTGAGAGTTTCGGTCAGTTGCCGACAAATGGGGCTGGTCCGCCAGGCCGTGATACGGTCGGTAAAGGCATAAAAGGCATCACCGAGGGGAGGGATGGGGGGTGCACCGAGGGGTCTCTGAGAGTGGGTGTGACGATACACCAACCGATGCATGACTACGATGTTGCAGTAGTTGATGTTACTGGTGGCCGAAGAGCGAAGGAGCTGGACGGGCACAAAGTCCAAGAACGGTCTGCCACTGAGAGAAGCAAGTGTGTTAGCTTGTTTGGTTTGGAGATGGATTGGAGGGAAGGAGGGAGGGCATACGCAATCCAATCGATGCCATCGGCGGACTCTAGAACCTTTCCGGTCATGACCTTGAAATTGACCAAGGAACTGTCGAGCGCCTCGATGGTGATGTCTTCATCGGTTGTCTTGGCCAGCACCTGTTGAAGGGCGCGGCTGATCGCTCTTTTGGTGAACAAAGGGTACTGAGATGGCGGTCTATTGTCCTTGATCCATGTCATCTTTTCGTCCTCTCTCCAGGGGCCCGGAGCCGGAGAGTCAGGAGCCAAAGAGGTGACACCGATGAAGCAGTCGGGGAGAAAAAGCTCAGACATCTTGACCAACGGAAAGAGAGCCCTGAAGATGCCGAGAGGATGATGTGAAGTGTGCAATACAGAGCTCGTACAGCACACTTCTAAGCAAAGGTTAGCATTGACACACCCCGCAAACTGAAATTGAGATGAGTGTTAACCGCCTCACCAAGATCTTACCGAATGGAGACGTGAAAGAGTGTTGACAAGCCCACAAGGAGCCTTGTCGTCTCGCGAGAGAGACGGTTGACACAAGTTCACGGAGAGAGCTTTATCACAATGACGCGAACGCTATGCTGTTCTTAATGCAAGTTCTTATGACGCTGATCGATGAACGAACGAACATACGAACGAACCAATGAAGCCTTGGAGGAACGGATGAAGGAAGGAAGAAAGAAAAGAAGTGAGACGCGAGCCGCCAGCCGACCGATAAACACCGGGATGGGGGTCAGCTTGGAGATCCAAACAGCAGTGAATATAGAACGCCGCACGTGACGGGACGACCGCGGAGGGACTGACTGAGGCTCGCAGCTGATCGGACGACGTAGCTTGATTGGACTGGCTGGGTTGGGATCTGGCAGCAGGCTTCGACAAGACCCACTGGGTTTCCTGTTATTATGGCGATGTTCTTCTTTTTCTGCAGGTGCCGTCCGTGGTGGCGGTTGTTGGCCTGTTTCCTTTCGGAGACAGGAATGGTGGCACGCGTTGAGCTAGAAAATGAAATTTCATATTGTTATCAAATGACTCTGGTTGTGGTGTTTGTCCCAGTAGGTGTGTCTACTAATGCCTCGTAGCACAACAAATAAGTCAATTCTAACAAGATTGTCGTGAGATATCGCATTCCAAACAGCCAAACAGATTTCTTTCGACAGCTAACTACCTTCTATAAACAGTCAATCTATTCCTCCACCACCTCCGCCCACGCGCAATTCTTCTTCCCATATACAATATCCGACATCCACCGCCGCAGGACAGCTGCATACGGCACATCATTTACATCAAGATTCACTTCGCGGCCCTCATATGCAATACAAGAGACAGGAACAATGAAATATGCGGTGCCAGAAGAGAAAGCCCCGCGCAGTCTCCCCTGGTCAGCAGCGTCAATGATATCGTGGATGGTAAACGCTTCCTCGACCACTTCCAGAGGCCTGACGATCTTACTCGTCTTGTCGACCATGTTTACCTGGAGCGGAGCGTCACCCGAGAGCCTCTCGCGGGCCAGCTCCAGGATGCTGCGGCGGGTGATACCAGGAAGAGTGATCTGATCATCAAGAGGCGCCGTTACCATCTGCAGTTGACCCTTCTCGGTCTCCCAGATGACAAAGAAGTTGGTAGCTCCGGCTTCGGTGACCTGACGGTTTGGTCCGAAGAGCCACAATACCTGGTCGTATCCCAGTGAAACGGCTTTCTGGTGTCCAAGGATAGACGCGCCGTAGTTGGCGCCGACCTTCACATTGCCGGTTCCGCCTGGCCATGCCCGGACCATGTCTTCCGTGCTGCCCCAGAGGCGGAATGGGGATGGATTAGAGGGTGGGGTGGGCCAGTAGGAGAGCAGAATGTACATATGGGCTTCGGATGGAGCAGCGAGGCCTAAGCCCTTCCCTGTGCCCACAAGTGCGGGCCGGATGTACATGCACTCACCTGCCCGGTCTGAAGATAGCCACTTGGGGCCTTCGACCGCACAAATTCTGTGGATGAGCCGATGGAGCTCTTCGGGATTGAATCGGGGCAGGCCAATCCGCTCAGCAGAGGATAGCATGCGTGCACAGTTGAGGGCTGGGCGGAAAAGTCGTAGTTTGCCGTCGTAGCCTCGGTAGACCTTCATCCCTTCAAAGCACTCCGTGGCGTAGTGGAGTGCGCTGGCGGTGGGCGTGAGTGAAAGGGATCTGTATGGGACAAGCTTTGGGCTTTCCCAGCCTCTCTCCAATGTCCACTGTACTTGTATCATGTGGTCTGTACATGCTTGATGGGATAGAACCTCTGGATCGTCGGGTGCTGGTACTGGTTTGGGTTCCGTGGAAAGTGTCACCTTGAGTCGGGAAGCATTTAGATCTTTTTGATATTTGGCTTTGTTTATCCCGTTGGGTTGAGTTTTCTGACGGTTCTTTGGATGTTTGGAATGGTGGTCTCGCAGGTCTTTCGCGGGTACCTTATCCGCTCCATTGGTATAGCCGCTGACGGAACCGTTCATGGGTTGGGCCTTAGGTTTAATCACTTCGCGAGTTGTCTCTGTGGGAAGGTCGTATGACTCTGTAGGCTGTTCCGTATATGACTTGGCAACCATACTACCAAGTCGCTGAAGTTCGTCAGTCAAGTCATCTGGCTGGATGCAAAGCTCGAGGAAAGCGAGCTTGTCGTGCTCTTCATCGGCTCTCTGGAGAGCTTGCTTCAGATCTTCCTGTGTCCTGATCTTCATTGCGAACATGGCTGGGTTTCCCTCCAAGGCTTCGTCCTCCTTTCGGCTATAAGGGTTATGAGAGGGTGCATGGGGAGCCGTGGAAAATGCGGTAGCTAGTTTGGTGTAGTCCCAGTTTGCAATGTAGTTGTACGGTCCTTCATGCACGGCAGTCTGGTTTCACTTAAGCGACGTCCTGATGATACTGATTAGGTTTACTCACCTCGATCTTGTATCCGAGATTGTTGAACACCATTATTATGGGATTAGTTCTCCGACGAATCATAGTGCTGAGCTCTTGTGCCGTCATCTGGAATCCTCCATCACCGATGAGGATGACTGCCCGTCCCTGTGTGCGAGCAAGCTGAGAACCAAGACCAGCAGGCAATCCCCATCCTATCGAACAGTATGGAAACTGCATCTGACAGTCTGCACCGGGGGGAAGTAGAATGTGATTGGCAA